CAGAAGCTCTTTGCTGTTGTTCACACTAACTGCTGTGTCACCAGCCTCAGGACTTTGTTGAACGTCATTCAGCAGTTTTTGACTCTGTGTGTGTGTTTGTGTGTGCGGGATGGGGGGAGGGGTGGACTGCGTGGGTGGTCAGACATTATCAGCTTTTCACAGCAGATAAAACTCAACAGTTGTTTCAAATTATTGGCTCTGCTGACGATTATCAGCCAGCAGTTTCTCCTCAAAAAAACCTGCCACTGAATATAGTTGCACAGTTTTATTTTTCCATCCTACATGTTTTACTTGCTTCACACTTTCATTTTTTATTTGTTTGTTTATTTATTGGGTGCATTTTAACAAAAAAAAGTTTACATTTTTGATTTACTGACCTGACTTTATTTTATCACTGATTTCTCAGTAGGCCAAATGTCTGCCGCCACTCCTCCTAACACTTTGAGTCTCGTGTGTGTGTGTGTGTGTGTGTGTGTGTGTGTGTGTGTGTGTGTGTGTGTGTGTGTGTGTGTGTGTGTGTGTTTCTACCAATAAAGTAATTTGGATGAAGCTGTGTTATGGGCTGAATTTGTTTGATGTCAATGTAAGAAACCTCAGATCAAATATTGTTTTTGAGCCTTTTGATTTTTTTTTTTTGACATTTTATTGCCACCATTTTATATTTTTAATATTTTATTTAAATACTATGTAAAATAAGTTTGTAAATAATTTAGAACGTAATGCATTAAAGTTGCAATACTACATTTCAGTTGCAATCTAACCATATTTAAATAGGCAATTGTTAAAAAAAAAATAACGTAAATAAAAACTTTGTCATAATTTAGCTTCCATGATAATGTAGTATAGATCTTCATTACTTCTTGTGCCTCAAGGTAAAAGTTATAAATCCAACATGTGAGTTTTAAAGAAGCTATGATCTTATGTGAAATGCAGCAGAAACAAAATTAGAGATGTATTAACTTCAATTCAAAACAACRTTATTGATCCCAAAGGGAAATTAAATATGTATCATCACAGAAGCAGCAATCTTAGAGCTGTATGTAGCATCTTAGAGGTAAAGTATGGTAGCTGAGAAAGGACATGCTTGGAATAGTTTGTCATCTCAAAATAACTTGTTAACTCGATGGTAAGTTATTCCTTATTGAGATAATTGAGGTTATTTTCTTGATATAATCTACTTCAATTTAGGAAAACTTGTTTTCTCACATCAGAATTGAACAAAAGTGTGATTTCATCAGAAATTAGGACAGTCCTACAGGCAGCTGAACATGCAATCTGTAGTTGTAGATCAAAATAAGTGATTTATGCATTTTAATTCTCAACAGATGAGTGACCAGAGTTCTACCAAAGCCTTGCCATTTTTCTCCAAGGTATGCTCTCCTCTCTCGTACTTCATCAGTTCAGATTAAACTCAGATTGTAGCGTGACGTTTTGTCACTCGCTGACCTCCGTGCTCACAGATGCAGATGGCTAACTTGGCTGATGCAGACGTGTCTGAGGAGGATAAGATCAGAGTGATGATAAATCAGTCGTCTCTGCAGTAAGTCATGTTTACTAAGTTTCAGTTCTCTGTCTTCATTCCACTTTCTTGTTTTTCTCCATGTGGAGTTTCTTCACTAATAAATCTGTTCCTGTGCTCCTAACAGATTCAGTTTCCCCTGTACCTCTCTTAAAAAWCATTAACTTTTCCATTTCACTGTCATATCGTGGGTCTTTTCTTCTGTTTCTCTTTGTAGCTTGAACACGAAGCATGGTACTGTCCTTCCAGAGAACTACACCTGTTATCGCTGTGGAAATACAGGTCACCACATCAGGAACTGTCCAACCAGTGGGGTAAGAGCATTTTGTCATTTTCACCTGCCAATAGCCTGTGGGGGAAATTAAAAAAAAAAAGTAAGAACTGAACTATGGTTTAAAAAAAAACAGACCGATCCATCAACCTAAAAAAAAAATCCCAAGTTCAATCACCTTTTTAGAACCATAATAAACTTTGACCTGTGCTATAAAAAAGGAAAAGAAAAACAGTGAATATGATGCCTCCTTCAGGCAGAAAACCTTTTCATCACAGAAAAAAACAAAATAAACTAAACTAAAAAGAGATCTACGTTCAAAACTGGGTTATTATTTGGCACATTTTGAAAAGAACCTTCTGGCGTGTTTCTTTCGTTTCGTCCAAATGTAGTTTTGTGCGTTTATAACAGGAAATTTGACTTCCTAATCCAGATCACAAATTATTAGGAAAATGTGAACTGTTAGATGTTCTTCTGTATTTTCAGCAGTAGTTTCCTTCATCCTAACCTTCATTTAATATAATTTTTATTCAGCGTTTTTTGTTTTTGTTTTTGATTTGTTAAATAGATTTAAAGCTGTAGATTTTTGCACTTGTTTTTTTTTTTTCTCTTCATATATTTTATTGTGTATGATTTGTGTGTCTTGGACTGTTTTCTTTTTTTTCTTTTTCCTAATCTAACACTAAGACTTTGAGTAAAAGTATAAATGTGTTTGAGAGCAGGATAAAAACTTTGAGGGTCCTCCGAAGATAAAGAAAAGCACAGGAATCCCACGCTCCTTCATGGTTGAAGTGGACGATCCCAACATTAAAGGAGTCATGTTGACCAACTCTGGGCGCTACGCGATTCCTGCCATTGATGCGTGAGTTTGATGCAAAGTAGTTTTTGTTGTCACACAAGGAAGCTCATGCTAGTTTAGATGGATGACTTTTGATAGTAGCATTATCCAACATAGTTTATCTCCAAGTTGTTTTGGGCTAATTTTAATTTAGTCATTTGTAGCATTAAAAAAACCATCAGTCCTGAGTTTGTTTGCTCTGTTTTATGTTCCTCAGTGAGGCGTATGCTGTTGGCAAGAAGGAGAAGCCTCCCTTCATCGCTCAAGAGAAACATAAAACTGAGTGTGAGGAGGAGCCCATCCCAGATGAACTCGTCTGCCTGATTTGTCATGACCTGCTGAGTGARGCTGTGGTCATACCCTGCTGTGGAAAAAGCTACTGTGATGATTGTGAGCCTCTGACACACACATCAATGCAAACTTCAATTTGTCTGTTCCTGGGTAAATGAGTCAAACTACAGAACCAGTTAAACTTGGCTTCATTCAAAATATCAGGATGTGTGCAATGCTGCAAATGAATAGCCTTGAGGTTTAGAGTTTTTAACCCTTTAAAGCATCTGTCTCATGTAGGTATCCGCTCAGCCTTGTTGGATTCAGAGGAGCARGTCTGCCCCACATGTGGCTTATCGGATGTCTCCCCTGATGCGTTGGTCGCCAATAAATTTCTCAGACAGGTGATCTACTGTAGCTGACACTCAAAAGACTATGATTTAACTTTGTTTTCTTTTCAACCAACTTTTTGCCCTTTATCTCTTAACTCAGGCTGTTAATAATTTTAAAAAAGAACGAGGCGGGACCAAAAAGGTGGGGACAAGCAGCCTCACCTCCAACTCCAAGACTTTAACTCCAGCACCAACTCCTGTTCCTACTCCACCTCCTGTTAGTGTGCAGATCCAGCTCAACAAGCCCCTCAAGTCCCCCTGCAGCCAGAAGGTGAAGCCTCTATGTGAAATGTTGAAATCTATATGGTTTCAGTTACKGGTACATGTCTTCACAATCATTTACTTGTCGTTTCTTGCCTCAAGGACGCTCTTCTGAGTCATCCAAAAGCTGCAAAACCAACCTCTGTAACTAAAGGCCCTGATGTTCCCCATGAAGCAACTAACCCTGCCTCTGCTGAGAACTCATCCAACCCATCTCCACAGCTCGTGGAAAGCCAAGCTTTGATATCTAACAAGTATATAACCACACAAACAAGCAGATACATGAATGTGACATGACARGTGATATTTAGCTGGATCATGTAATGATGTCAAGACAATGTGGTGCTTTTTCCTTTCTTACGTGATTCCACTAAATCACTGTTTGTGGAACTCAGCTGTTTTTGTTTTATTGCTCACCTCTGTTAAAAAAAAATCTCTCCCAGTATATTTTATAGATATTAAAACTACAGTGGAAGTATCTGAGAGTCATCTTCAACACTTGCTCTGAGCAGGAACACATTTTGCAAAATCCTGTAATATTGCATATTTAAAATGTTTGACCAGAAGAGCCAAAACTGTTTTCTTTCTCATTGTAAGATGATCTTTGTTTCAAACTCCATCATGAAAAGTGGAGGGCAATGTGCGTTTCTCTGAGGATTTTTTTTTATTTGTATATTAAATGGGAACCCCATTAGTCTTCACCTTCATGAAGACTATTCTCCCTGGGGACTCAACACAGCACGAATCATACAATATAAAACAACACACCCCCCCCTCCACCCACACACACACACACACACACTAAACCAACCCACCACCATTAACCAAATAAAAACCTTTCACATTATTTCAGAATATACAGTATAACTGCTACTAAGCAATGTTATGTCAGCAGGTAACAGGAGGTGGCTCTGGGCATACATAGCTATATGTTTGAGTTAATTTTAGGCAGAGGTAAAGTAAATTTCACAGCTGAGGGTTGTTTTATTTTAAGACTGTGTGTGTTCAAACAGTGCAACAGCTGAGAAAATAGGCAAAAGGTTTTAATGAATATCCAAAATGTATGAAAAAYCAGAAGGTGATTGTTTAAAAGTCTATCATTGACCTTCAACCATGATACTCTTATGCATGAAATTCGCACTGGTTCTAAAATCACAACCAAGTGCTAATCTTGCAGCTTTGTTTTGAGCAATATGAAATTTATATAGATCATTTTCTGAGTCACTTGGCCACACAGCAGTAGTCAAGWTGACATACAGAACTAAATACTGTATTACCAAATTCTCTTATTCCAGGAGACCTGAAATGAGCATTACACAGAATTATTGCAATACTTTTACTCATTTTAGTCACTATGTTTTGAATATGCATGGACCGTGGTATAGTTAAATCAGTTGTAATTGATAGACCTTCATGCAGTTAAATAACTTATGAATGTGATGTTTACACTGTTGKCTCAGCGAGGATGAAGAAAAAACAGGCGATGACTTGGCAGCCGTGGCTCCGTTTCTGGCTGTTTCTGACAAAGATKCCAAAGATGCTCCAAAACAGCTGGAACCACAGGTGAGAGCCCACACACTAAAACACAACACACAGTCACCCTCCACAGTGTGTGTAACGTGGTGATGTTCCCATCTGTTCAGGTTAACAGCAKTGAAGAGGGAGAACCGATTCAGACGGTCTGTGTGAATCAGAGAAACTCTTCCTCAGGTAAGTGACTTTAAGGACTCATTTGCTCGTTGGGTTACATTTGGTTTCCTTTTGTTTGCGGTGTGTTTTGATATTTGTTTATATTAGTTGGATAATGGATTAAACAGTTAACTCGTGAAAAAGAAGTAAAAACTGACATTATTTTCCTGAATCTCCAGATTCAGCTTTAGGACTGTCTTTTTCCTCCAACTCCTGGGAGAGGTATGTTTCAGGTCTGTTTTTATTAATGTCCCCTCCCTTTGAGACTGATCTGTTTCACACCTCTCACATTGTCCCCTCAGCACCTGCTCCTCCTCTGCTCCTACTCCCYGAGGCTCGACTGAACCTAGCACCGAGCAGCATCACACCCCCTCTTCATCCTTCTCTTCGTATTCAGCCACACCTTCGCCTCTTTTTTCCTCCCCTCCTCTTCACACTTTTGTCTCAACTCCCCAGCCTCACGGCAGTTATCCTCCTGGATACCCACAAACCACACCCACCTGGAAGCTTCCAGCCCTCAGAGGTGCCCCAATCCCCTCCCTCTGCCCCCCAACCTGCACATCCTCAGTCCCTAGCCTAATTCCCAAGGAGTGGTACAGGTGTGAGGAAAAGAAAAGAGAGAGGTAAACACTTAATTTAACAGTTCAGTAATATGTATTGTAGCTGTGAGCCCTTTAGAAACATGTTTTTATTGATTTGTTTAGAAGCCATGAATGCATTTGTTTATTTTTTATGCTGTTCTCATCTCATAGCATTACCAGCTGCTTATCATTTTTGTTTTTGTTAAAAGTTGATAAGAATTTAACTTGCAGGCTATTTTAGCGTTTTTAATAATTTGACACAAACCCTCCTCCAAACAATATAAACTTGTTACTTTTAGAGGATGTTCATTCAGCTGGTTTGTTTTGCTTCGACACTAAATAATTCTTTTAAAAGCTGAACTTTCTCACTTTGGAAAACAATGTATATCATTGGAAAAAGTTAACTAAAATTGTAGCAGTTTGCAATTCTTCTCTGACTCTGGGTCAGGTTCTGGCTCCAACATGTAAGGCTGGATGGACAAGTCTTCTGTTGTTTACATCTTTTAATTAATTTGTAAATAACAAGTTTCTGTGCCGCTATACTGTCATAAACCCCTCTATCAAACAGGAATGGACCGGTCTGGAAGCTCCTTGTTTGGATGTGAAGAGACAGCATCCAAACGAGTTGATCTGAGACACACCTCAGAAAAGAGGTGAAAGAGGGGCTTGTAAAGTTACAATAAGGAGGAATTCAGAACAAAGCAATGCAGTTCCACTTTTTAAAGACCCCAACTGAATGATTTAAATGTGGAAAAAGAAGGATTTAAAAGTCTGATATACACTCACCGGCCACTTTATTAGGTACACCACGCTAGTAACGGGTTGGACCCCCTTTTGCCTTCAGAACTGCCTCAATTCTTCGTGGCATAGATTCAACAAGGTGCTGGAAGCATTCCTCAGAGATTTTGGTCCATTTTGACATGATGGCATCACGCAGTTGCCGCAGATTTGTCGGCTGCACATCCATGATGCGAATCTCCCGTTCCACCACATCCCAAAGATGCTSTATTGGATTGAGATCTGGTGACTGTGGAGGCCATTTGAGTACAGTGAACTCATTGTCATGTTCAAGAAACCAGTCTGAGATGATTCCAGCTTTATGACATGGCACATTATCCTGCTGAAAGTAGCCATCAGATGTTGGGTACATTGTGGTCATAAAGGAATGGACATGGTCAGCAACAATACTCAGGTAGGCTGTGGCATTGCAACGATGCTCAATTGGTACCAAAGGGCCCAAAGAGTGCCAAGAAAAGATTCCCCACACCATGACACCACCACCACCAGCCTGAACCGTTGATACAAGGCAGGATGGATCCATGCTTTCATGTTGTTGATGCCAAATTCTGACCCTACCATCCGAATGTCGCAGCAGAAATCGAGACTCATCAGACCAGGCAACGTTTTTCCAATCTTCTCTTGTCCAATTTCGATGAGCTTGTGCAAATTGTAGCCTCAGTTTCCTGTTCTTAGCTGAAAGGAGTGGCACCCGGTGTGGTCTTCTGCTGCTGAAGCCCATCTGCCTCAAAGTTCGACGTACTGTGCGTTCAGAGATGCTCTTCTGCCTACCTTGGTTGTAACGGGTGGTTATTTGAGTCACTGTTGCCTTTCTATCAGCTCGAACCAGTCTGCCCATTCTCCTCTGACCTCTGGCATCAACAAGGCATTTCCGCCCACAGGACTGCCGCTCACTGGATGTTTTTTCTTTTTCGGACCATTCTCTGTAAACCCTAGAGATGGTTGTGCGTGAAAATCCCAGTAGATCAGCAGTTTCTGAAATAGTCAGACCAGCCCTTCTGGCACCAACAACCATGCCACGTTCAAAGGCACTCAAATCACCTTTCTTCCCCATACTGATGCTCGGTTTGAACTGCAGGAGATTGTCTTGACCATGTCTACATGCCTAAATGCACTGAGTTGCCGCCATGTGATTGGCTGATTAGAAATTAAGTGTTAAAGAGCAGTTGGACAGGTGTACCTAATAAAGTGGCCGGTGAGTGTATGTCTACTTTAAACAAGAGTTTGTGAAGCTCACTGATCTTAGAGTTGTTGCTTCTGGCTAATGAACTTGAAAGCATGACTTCATCAAGAGCTGACAGACAAAATTATATATATAAAAGCAAGATTGGGTTCATGCTTTACAAATTTCTATTTTTATATAGAAATGACCCAGCTTTTGCCACCAAAATTGCTCTGACAGGTCATGGACAAAAAACATTGGGTGTTTGTTTGCAGCCCATTTATTAGATCTGTGATTTCCCCAGAGGCCATCATAGTTTATATCAGGAGTTTACAGAGGCTCTCTGTAGACCTCAGACAGCTTTCTGTATTGTTTGAAACTGTTCAGAGCTAATTTTTCTTAATGATCTGCTGGGGTGGCGGTTGCTACTGTAGACAAAGGTGCTTTTGCCTTTTTTTTGGTTGGGATCAGGCTGCAGAAATGAAAGTTAAAGTTGAAATATCTTCCATCTTTATCTCTCTCACACAGGTCACCTCACAGACCCTCCACTTCTCTTTCAAAGTCCAAGTCTTCCCGCTCCTACTCGCGATCATCCAGTCGCTCTGCTTCTCGCTCTCGCTCCCGCTCCAGATCGAGGTAATTCTTTTTCTGCTCAAGGTTTTTTCTTATCTTAGAAAAAAAATAAAAAATAGCTCTGCAGATTATTATAAGCTCAAATGTAAACACATTCATTCTTTGCTAAATACGATGTGAAGGGAGGATCAACAGGATGCACAAAATACATCTAATAAAGTTTGAGATGCTCTTTCATATTTACCAATAAGACAAAGTGTCAGTGTGTTGAAAGCATTTAAATCTTTTGCATGATTAAAATTAAATACAAATTCAAAGTATCAAACACAAACAATATGTTTATAACATATTTTATCATGTTGAATTCAGAACAACTGATACAAAAACCTGCTAACACTGATAGCAGTGTACATTTGTTAAATAAAGTCCACATAAGCTGCTATATTTCTTTATTAGTTGTTTTAAAACAGCAGAAATCCACTTGACTCCACTCTGATTAGTTGTCCTTAGAGAACACTTTCCTGATTTTCCATATTGAGACATTTCAGATTGCTGTTGGTAAGATACTGACAAGAACTCCACAGAAACCTACTACAAAAAAATCTAAACTGTCCCTTTTAATGTAAGCCTGGTTCAGAAGGAAGATGCAGTCAAACCATAGAAACACTGACATGTGATATAAAAAACTGAACCTTTTGTTTTCCCTCTTTTGTCTAGGCCTCGTTCTCCTCCTGTCAGTCACAGAAACTTTCAGTCCCTCTCCAATCCTTCCTGTTCTTACGGTTACAAACGGCCTAGCTCGCATACATCATCCTCATCACCGCGAGGTGGTCACTCCCGGTCCGAGTCGCACCATCGCAAGAGCCGCAATCATAGCAAGAGGTCGTCTTCAAGCAGGCACAGCTCAAAGAGACTGAAAGAAGCTGGACCCTCATCGAATACAGCTGATACAAGCAGTCTGGAATTGGAGCGACAACGCTACCTGCAGTGGAAGGAGGAATTCAAAGAATGGTATGACAAATTCTGCAACTTGATCATTCAATTCCAACAAATGCCTCTTCCTCCTTCTCCGCCACCTCTGTATCACCAAGACTCTCCCTGCCCACCACAAAATAGAGGCGCATCCAGCCCGCCTTCATCAGAGACCTCCAGTTATAGTCGCTCCCCTCCCTCTCAGTCCTCAAGTGACACACACTCCACAGCATCTCACCCCTCCGTTGACAGCTGTTCATCAAATAAAGCTAACCACAGATACTCCTCACCCTCTCAGTCGTCCAATGACAGTCACTCCACTCCTTCAGAAACCCGACCTCAGCCCAAGGAATTTTCAGAAAGTTGCACGGAAAAACTCAGGCCAGGTGAAGTGACAAAGAGTAGCATGGAGGCAAATTCACAAGACATAACAATAGACCCCAGTCAACAAATATTAAAGGATGTTGAGGACTCCAGCTACTCAAATCATGAGCAAAAGAAGAAAAATGAAGGAGGAAGAGCAGAGGCTTCGAATTTTTTAGACCCTAAAAGTGACCACAGACACGATAAGAGGTGCAACGCTGAACCAAATGCCTCCGAAGAGGGTCACCCAGGACCACGCAAAGCATCAGAATCAGTCCAGTTACCTCTGAAAATGGATAAACATTTAGATACACAGAGTGGAAGAAAAGATAAAGTGGAAAGTCATTTGAAAAAGAAACAAAGCAGGAGGATAAGTCAAGATTTGGAGTCTAGACAAGACATGGAGAGAAATGCCAAAGTAAATACCAGTATGGGTCCAGACTGGGTTGCTACAGAAAGAAAACAACCTGGAAGCAGCCAAGCTCCAGACTTAATATCAGAGGTGACCAGAAAAAGAAAAAGGGGTGAAACGAATAAAAATGAGAGAAAAGGTAATCTTACCGTTAAACCTCAAAGCAGCAAAGGCCCAAAAACTAAACCTGCAGAGCCTCAAAGCCATGACAGTAAATGCCTAAAGCTATCTGACAGAAAAAAGCAAAAACCAGAAAAAGAAGAGAGTAAAACTTTGCTTCTGACTCCAAGGAACATATGGGAGGGAGGGATGAAGATGATTCCTCAGAAAAAGATAAGCATCAACATAAATCTGGATGGGATAAGGAAGGAGGAGAAAACAAACTCTTCTACTGTAGAGATTCAGACACAGGAAGCCAAAGATCCGACCGATGGTACAGAGGAGAAGTTAAACAAAGATGAGACCAAAACTAAAACTGGTGAAAAGAAGGAATCAAGCTTCGAAACTTTGACTAAAGATAAATCTGTCCTACACATGGTGAAAGAGATTTCTGACAACGTCACATTCAGAGATGAATCGGAAAGAAAAGCAAAAGAAAAGCAAGAAGATGAGAGAAAAGAAAAAGAGGAGGATTTAGACCTCTGGCACTGTGCGCTCACATGTGTGGAGGACTCAGACGAGAGCCTGATGGGAACAGAAGCAGAACAAGTAAAAGACTTCAGGGACAAGATGTTCCGCTTGTCAAAGACAGAAGAAAGCACACGAAGAGAACCCCGAGGTGAACCACGGAAGCAGGAGGAAGTTCCATTGGGCTCCAGCTCGCAAAGAAACAAAACCCTTCACGTTGGACGAACCAGTGCATCAAAAAACGACAGGTTAGAACTTCTCCGTAGAACAAGCATCAGAATCTCAAATCTGCACAGTCTGTTRTTCCTTTCTTCGTTTGCTAAAGGTTGTGTGATTTCTTTTTATTATTTTTTTTTTCAGCAGCAGTACCTTGGAGAGGGGCAGCTGTGGAGTTGAAGAAAGTCGTCAGAAGAAGACTGTGATAAAAACACAAGAAGGCTCACAGGACCGAGCTGAAGTCAAACTGAACCTACCTGCACAGGTGAATGATCCGAGCAGGTGATGTAGCTGTGTGTGTTTTTAGTGAAAGAGAGGATCTGTGTTATGACTTATCCAAACAAAAACTTTCTACTCAGTTCAGCAAAWTTTTATTTGGTTCAGCAATTTCCTTCTATCATTTACAGTAATTAAAATAATGATTCTTAAACTGGTAGAAAGATAAAAGGGGCACATCTTTTTTTCTGCTGTTTTCTTCCATCTTTCACTCACTTTGACAAAAGATAAATCTTCTAATATTTTTAAAGTTTTTCTTTTAGGAATCTTCACTTGTTTTCCTGCAAAAGCTTTCTTGTTCTTTCACCCCTAATTTACACTACATGCATCTCCGCTCGGCTGCAGTCCAACCTCTGCAGCAAATACTCAACCATTATAATCAATGAGAGTGTTTACACTGGCCCCGCACAGAGGCGGACGGCGATCTGGCAAAATTAGATCTGATCCTATTTTTGCTGGACGCCGGAGCTGCTCCAGAGTCAATCTACATAGAATTATGGTGCGTTCACACCGAACGCGATTTCAGCGTCAAAATCGCAGCCAACGCTGAAGTTTGAAGCTTGTGCACTTTGAGGTCAGACGCAGGACAGCTGCGCTGCACGGCAGAGTCTCCCCGCCCCTCCCTCCTCTGTGGGGCTGTTTAATGTCGGACGAGGAAGTGGCTTTGCTTTATTTACAGASAGCCAGAYCYTGTCACGTTCATCAGATAATTAATTCATAATTAATTCACCAGATAATTCAGAGAAGAGGCTCACAGCTCGCTTTCAGGACTATTTTTTCAGTCTGATGAGTCGCTGCCACGCATTGCTGTGGATCAGGACACGACTGCAGCACTCATTTCAGCTAAAGAGCAGGAGCTCCGTCTGTTTCAGGTTAGTGGACKTCATTCAGTAAACTGTCCCGTTGGGAAATATGTCGTTACGTCACACAGTGGAGTCTCTCTGATTGGTTGACGCTGCGCGTCGAGCTGCAAAAGTTCAGATTTTCTAACTTCAGCGATTTGGACGATTTGGACGATCTGAGCGTCGAACGCTCAGATCGTTCAAATCGTTCAAATCACGCTGCTCTAATCGCGCTTGAGGCGCCGCAGAACTTCCCGACGTTGCTTGAAGCGCGTCCACCATAGACTTTGCATGTAAACCTGCTGCTCCTGACGCTGAAATTGCGTTCGGTGTGAATGCACCATCACATTGCACCAACAGGAAAAGAAACAAGCACAAAAAAGAAAAATTAAAAAATAAATAAATGAATAAATAATACAATCACAACATCCGTATTTTCAGAATAAGGCGGAATAATTTTGTGGAAATCCCAGCTATGTTAATCAATAAATGGATAAATTTGTACACAACTGTTGTCAGAATGTATGGTTGTGTTTGGGAAGCAGATGGCAACATGTAGATGAAGCATATGTGTACACACATGATACACGTGGATTTTATTTTGAAATCAGAAGTTTCAAAAAGACAACAAACAGTTTCAACCATAGATAACAAAAGCTTTTATATCAATGTTTTCAGCTGTTTGGAGTTCGTGACTTCCACATTTATCACTGGATTTATTTTGTGATCTCCTTCCTGCACACGCTCCCTCCTCTGTGTGTTGCGCCGGAGCAGAGCTGAGGGAAGCGGAGTGGACGCTGTATAAATTGGGTTATAAACAAATAGCTGCATACCGCAGCGGAGCGGAGTCGCATGTAGTGTAAATCTGGGGTCAGAGATCTAGTTCTGCCACTTATTTTGCATTTTTCTTTTGAGATCTGTCTGTTATGATGAGAAGGTCCCAGGGTTTAAATCCTGGACTAACTCACAGATTCCTAATGTCACTGACTGGGTTACAACTGTTGACTGAATTACAAGAACATGTGCAAACATGTACACATACTGTATGTACAGAACTGCAAAAACTTTGTGATATTTGGACAATTTTCCTACGTAATTAGGTAACCCTAATTAGGTCTCAGTTTGATTCTGTTTTTTTTTTCTTTTTTTATTATTATTATTCCCAATCAGTTTATTTCATAGGTCACCACATGGGAGAATAATGTGGGAAAAAAACATAAATAGTTTTAGATTTTTCACACTTTAATTCACAAAAACTAAATTTAGAAGAGGTCTTGGCGCCTGAAAGGACTGCAAATATTTTGATTTTGTTCAAATCTCTGACAGCACAAGAGTTAAGTCGTGTGACTCTAGCAAGAAAATTGGAGACTCTTGAATGTTTTGAAATAGTAGGCTCTTTCAAAAGACACTACAGTCTGTGACCTAAGACTTGATTATTGTCTCACTTTTGTGTGTTGTGCAGAGCGCGCACACCCTCGCTAGTGGTGTAGGCGTTTATACTTGATGCTTACATTGTTGTAGTATTCTCTAAAAGGACATGTAGCAGTACACTTCATAACTTGTGAAATATTGTAAATAGGAGAGCAAAAGCTTGACGGACAAACAAACTATTTGAATAGTGCGTGGCGAGCTCAGCCCATGAGGAGTTACAAAGTTTTGAAGGTGCGTGACCATGTGTCGGGACACCACGTGGCCAACACACAGGGGCAGGGATGGTATGATTGTCACTGTTGGCATGCACACCCTCAACTATAAACCAGGCTTCAGGCCTCTTCTGGCTGAAAGGGCAGAMGGGTGGGGGGTCGAAACCTGCCCACCCCTGGTGTGCCTCTGTCCTGCAGAGTAAAGCACACAGTATGCTGCAGACGAACTGTCGCAGTTTCATGACGAAAATTGCGTCATTCTGTTCGCATTGTCAACATTCTGGCACCTTCTTGTCATAACCCACGGGCCGAACTTTTTACCCTCCTCCACATAAAATAAGATTGTGTGATTGGTCAGAAGTTTGTGGGAGTGTTTGTGCTGAAAGCACTAGAGCCAGGTTTTCAGCTTGAGAGCAAGGCATCTGCGACGGATTTCTTAAAAATGAGAAGCAGAAGGAAAAAAATGTGTGTTGTGATCCTGCGTTGATTCAGGGGTTTAACTGATGGTGCTTTCAAGCAATAAAAAAAAAACAGTTTTAGCCAATCAGAGCAGAGCAGGGCGGGTRGTGCTGTCTGTGAGCAGAGACAGACTGCAGGTGAAGTAATCAGCATTTCTCTGACTATTTTTGGACTTTTTTCTCCCAAGCAGAACACCTTGACCCACTACCCTAACAGAACTGCCCGCTCCCCATGATGGTGAAGTCATGTGGTAAATTAATAAATGTCTAAGTATTAAACCTATGTGTTCAGATGGGTGGAGTTCACTGCAGCCAAGGAGATACCGTAACTGGTACTGTGTTATCCCCACCGCTCTTCCTGAACTGAGCCCTGGAGCAGCAGCATCATTGTCAACAGAACATAGACATAAAATACATAAATGAACATACAGTATGAGTGCGACGTCTTTACATCTTCTGCACATAATGGGCCCCTCTGAACTGTTAACAGTTCAAACTGACATCTAATGGAGGCCACATATTTTAATAAAGTGATACTCCACATAAAAAATGATCTGAGCAGAATAATCTCCTATAAAGGCCCTGTAACATTTTAGACAACTTATGCTAACTTGTGAAAACAAAATTTCCACTAAATTACTAATAAGTTATATATTTGATCAATTTATTATCATTATAGTATGCATACACCTAAAAGATGCTTCCAGTTGGTTTTTTTTTTTTTAGTTCGGTCTTCAACATAGATGTCTCCAAACATTTCACAAGTTGGCATAAGTTTAAAACATCAGTGTGACAGGGCCTTAAGACCTGCAATGTGAACTTAAGCCTTTTGTTATTTTCCCACTTCCTAATTTACCTCATGCCCCCAATAAAGACCTCTGCCGCCCCCTAGGGGAGGCGTGTCTCAGTTTAAAAAAAAAAACCTGACATGCAGCAATTGTTTTTTTTTTTTTATTATTAGTTAACCACAAAAAGGATTGCTAAAATAAATTAATTTCTTGTGATTTGAAACTGACATGAAGGAGATGTCTGTCACACATTTAATGATTTGCACTTTACGTCAACACAGCTGAGTTCTGCTTCCTGCCTCTATAATGCTCACGTTTGTGCTGAACGTGGATGACTCCATCTTTATGTATGAAGGGCCGGCGGAAGCATAATGGTTTATTTTATGAATGAGGCTAGTGACATAAAGTATTAAGGTTTGGATGTTTCTCCCTCTAAAATGATTCATTTTGGATTTTGAAGTTAAGAATGTTGCCATGCCGCGTGATGTTCACATCCTCTTTTTTTGCTTCTGTGGGTGTTTTTCCCCTTTTACAGAAAATAAATCTATTTTATTGCTTTTGACACAGAGTTTATGGCCAAGAAACTTTACTTCTATTGACTCTTCATGACACATGAGCTAACAGACGGCAAACTCTTCTTGGTGGTCTTCAGCAGTAAACAGGTGCTTCTCATCGCCACCACTTTTACCCTGTTTTCTGTGCTGAAGGTATTTCTGTTCGTCAAGGCTTCAGCTGGTTTTTTGTTGTTCCTAAAATTGTTCTTTTATTTATTGTTTCACATCTTGAGTAAAAGGCTACGTGATACATTTGACAGCTTTTGTTCCCCCCCCCCCCCCCCCTCTGAGGATTAATTCTAATTTTCAGAGTGCAACATATCTGCTTAGAGGCTCCAGTGGCTGATGCTTATTGGGAAAAAAGGTTTGACTTGACATCATCTGACTTTTCAACAAATCTGAACAAACCATGTCCTAACAAACTAATTCAGGTCTGAGATCTTTATAAAAGTTAAGTGATTAAATAATTTGCATGAAACTTGCTGTCATTTCTTAACTCTTTATGGATGACCAAGACAAAAATAAAACACTAATTCAGTGTCAAATGTTTAAAAAGAACAAACTCTTTGTCTTAATTTTCTCAGTTTTTACCTGCTGAATTATTTGCATCAGAAACTGGGTGCCCAAACTTTGCATGAGTGTTCATTATAGGTATATTTATATAATTTTAATTTATTTAAGTAGTATTTATGACTTTTAGGGTTGCGAAGGGGCAGAAACTTTGTGGTAAATTTCCAGGAACTTTCCATGGGTAGTTAAGGTGAAGAATTTTGGAGAGAATAAAGAAGTGCAAATTGGTAATTTTACAGTCAAAACACACAACAAATCAGCACATCAAATATATTTGTCCCAAAATATCATCAGAGCTTCACTCTGCAGGCTCAAGTAGGGAGCTTTAACAGTCCAGAGTTGTAGAAAACATCTGTACATGTGGGGCGTGATCTAAACACCCCTGCAGTAAAGCTTGAACATAGGGTCATTTTTATTTACAAAGCACGCCAAGTAAACTTAGTACAAAAAGTAAGGACATTTGTGTTTGGTAGATTATTTCTTTGTTGTAACAATGCTTCTTGGCAATAAATATTTTACCATTGAAAAGCCTGTTCATTTCTCAGATAAATGATGCCAGATTTGTAAGGAACATGCATTTATGGGATGAGCAGTAGAGCTGAGTATGTAGGTTGTGCAAATGAAAAATTTACCAAATCTTCTCTGCCAAACAGCTTGTTTTGTTATACTCACACTTGTTTTGAGCTTCTGGTGGCCGCAGGTGCTGCCAATCAGGTGCCTGGTGTAAGATTTATTGGCTAGAAACATTTGTTAGCATAAAGAAATAATCTACCAATCTAATCTACAAATTTCCCTACTTTTTGTGCTAAGTATAGTTATTGAGTTAGGACTTAAACAGTATCCACTGACTTTAGAAACACATTTCACAGTAAACAGTTTGTCTTAATATAACTTGTAGTTATTTGCAAAGTAGAGGAGTCTGAGTATTTGAGGATGGTATCATGCCACCAATACTTAAAATCCCTGTAAAGAGAGAAATTTCAGTGTTTTAAATTCTTTGTGTATTTCCATAAATTCCTCAGTTTTTCCCATGGAAAGTTTCCAGCTTTGAAAATTTCATGGAATTTTGTAACCCTAATGACTTTGCAGAATATTTGACACAAAAAAAGAACTTTTCTGAGACACATTTTGTCCTCGTTCTCAGGTGTCTCGCTCCAGGTGGGAGAATGATGGAAAACAGCAAACTGAGGTCTTTGACTCTGCAGCTGGACCTCTGCCGTCTGTGACAGTGACCAATTGTGAAGTGACAAAAGACAATGAACAACAGAGACAAAGGCGAGACAGGGACAGAGTGACAGATAGAGGCAGAGAAAAGGAGAAAGAGAGACACTCCATTTCCTTGCCCTCGGATGTTGCTCCCCCTGGTGGCGGTGAGCGGATTGACAGTTCGGCGTGTCCGAAGAGAGACAAGGAGACAAAAACCGAGAAGCCAAAGGAGCGAGAGAGAACAAGAGAGAGTGAGAATCAAAAAGAGAAGGAAAGACTGAAGCAAGGAACAAGAGAGGAAGAGCGGAGGAGAGAGGATGCTTTAATGCAAAAGAGAAATCTGCTCTCCTCTTCCTCGGTGTGGTACGACAAAGAGAGAAGAGACCGAATGCGAGGGAGTGAGCAGGGCAGCAGCATCATGAGCTGGAAAACCTTCAAAGAAAGCAGATATCAGCACCAACCAGATCACAGGCATCCAGACCTGATGGGCAAAAAGGAAAGTTACCACTTCCACCATTACAACTATCACCAGTCTTCATCAGCCAACTACAGAGAGAGAAACAGACCTGACAGGACCCAACACTCCCCATCTTCACCCTGCTACGAGGACAAAGACCTGCTCCTCTTGGAGTCCACTGAAAACTCTGAGAAAGGGTGTCCTGGTGGGGCGTTAATGCAAAACAAAAGCAGAAATGAGAGCAAGGCACAGAAAGGAGAGGAGAAATCTGAAAAGACTCCCAAAACGCAGAAAGATTGCAAAGGAGGGCGAGAAACTCCAGAGGCCGCCGACTGCCGAGGAAGAGGAGCGGGAGGTGGTGGGGGGAGTCGGAGGGAGGAGAAGGCTCGAAAAGTGGAGGAGAGGCGGAGGTCCAGCAGCGACAGCATCCGCTCCTCATCGAGCCACAAGAACGACCGAGACGACAGGAGAGAAGAAACGAAGGAGAAACAGAAGCAGCACAACAGGCTGCAGGAAGTCAACACATAAAACTCTGCAGAAGCAGGTGGAAAGATGAAGACGACAAAAGGCCTGCTCAGTTACAGTGTTGACTGTAACTGTAGTCATGGTTTGGTTTTTCTTTTTTCAGACCAAAGTGTGCCTGGATTTATTACATTGCCTTTTGTTTCGTTCTTCTTAACGTGCATCATCCAGAGTCCTGGCAAACAAATTATGAAGGAAAAGCACTTTATAGAAAACAACAATGTGAAACAATCAACTGTACACACTGAGATCTTCTGTGTGTAATCTTAAGTTAGAGGAATCTGCACACATTTACGACTCGCTGACGATTGTCAGTCTTAGTTTGTTTTCCCTGAAGCTGCCGCTCGGCTGAAGGAAATCTGCTCCTCTGACATGAAATCAGTCTAAGAGTTCGATTTTCCTCACGGGAGCGCAGATCGATGATCAATACAAAGAAACTGATTTATTCTAAACTAATACTGTGAATATTTATCATTTCCTCCTCCTGTGTGTTTATTTTCTATTGTGTAAATATTTAATTTAAAAACAGCAGTAATGGATAAATAAGTTGCCAAAGGAATGTAATYGTTCCTGTTTTTGGGGGAAATAAAAAGGAACTATTATACAGTGTACAGTGTTTTGTTTTTATTTTTAGAATGTTAGGAAACTAAAAGATGTGAATTTATTTATTTATTTGTTTATTTGTTTGTTTTTTGCCATTTGTTTCTCTGCATTTTACCTAAAGCAGTATTTAGTCAAAATCCGGAATAACTCTGTTAGATGTTTTATGCTTTTAAATCCCTTTTTTTTTTTTTCAAATTTAAAATCATTCAGTGGGGTCTTCATAAAGTGGAACTGCAATGCTTTGGTCTGAATTCCTCCTTATTGTAACTCCACAAGCCCCCCTTTCACATCTTTTCTGAACTGTGTCTCAGATCAACTCATATTGAGGCTGTCTCTTTAATTCCAAATTAGGCTCTTAATACTCAGCACATCCAGCTTCCAGAGCGGTCCTGGTTTGATAGTTTTTTTATTTTATTTAATGACTATTTAGCGCTGCAGAAATTATTTTACAAATTAGTTAAAAAATGTCAACAAAAGAAAACTTGTCCATCAAGCCTTACATGTTGGAGCCAGAGGAGAATGAAGACAGTAAAACCTGCACTTTGTTGTGAAATTCAATTCAGTTTGTTTATATAGCGCTAAGTCACAACAAATGTCTCAGGGCACTGTACACAAAAACACAAATCGAAAGAAGCCAGCACATTATGTTGAATCTTCACTCAGTCTCCAATCCTGAGCAGCACACCGGCAGCAGCGGAGAGGAAAAACTCCCTTTTAACAGAAAAAACCTCCAACAGAACCAGGCTCAAGATAGGCGGCCATCTGCCTCCACCCGCTGGGCTTGGGGGGGGGGCAGGAAAAAGACAGACGTGCTTAAATTTAACTTAGATTGAAAGAAAACAATTTCTTGTTTGGTTTTGAAGTAGAGTTCTCTAGAAATATTATAAACAAATTCTTACCAACTAGTATCTGTAGTTCAAACTGCCTCAGTTTAAAGAAAATGATCACTTCTGACCCAATTCAAGATGGCATCCACAGTTCATCAACTCTAGCAAACTCAAAAATGGTGATAACTCAGTGGAGCGAAAACTTGGTGTGGTAGGAGCTGAGAGTCATCTCCAACATGCACTTTGAGCACTTGAAGGAAATTCTGTAAATGYTTAATGTTAGATGCAGTTTTGTATATTATTCTTTCTGGTCATTGCAGCCACAAGTTTAAACAGAACGATATTTGGTATGCTATGTGTTCTTTCTGTCTATATGAGCAAAAGCTGGTTATGTTCTACTTCTGACGTAAAAGGTAGCACCTCCAGGAGTGGAACCAGGAAGAGATGCACATTATAAGGTCAATTCGTTCTTATAAGGGGGAGAAGTTTAGAAGGATCTAGCCTGGACAAACAGGGCTGCTTTGTTTGGGTTTCAGCTCAAGGCCGTACGCTGACGTCTGACTGCTATGCTGTACTTGTGAACCTGAATGGAGTCAGATGAGAATAAAAGTTTGAGAAGAAATCCAAGTGAATTCCTGCTTTATTCAGACGTGCCATGTTTGAGCAGCGTGTTATTTCTACACACTGATTGACAAAACAAGATCTTTGTTTAGTAATGGGGCTCATGAGGCAGTGGGCCTTAGATTCATCATATTAGGAACTTTGTCAAGAAGTTGAGAGATGCACTATGATTAGAAACTTTATAATCTTTGTTAGCCTTTGTTTTAGTTCATCTCCTTTAAGACCAGAACAAGGCTTTTTTTTATTTAAAAAAAAAAGACTGAAATTTTTCTTTTGGGTTTACTTCAAAAAGCTCAAAATACTGTTCCATGGTCTCTTTGCAGACCACATTTTTTATGTGTGTGTGTTCTGAGAGTCACATTCAGTAAAGCTGCTGTGTGTGTAGGCGTCAGATGTGCCATCTGTGTGTGAGTTGGTGCTTGAAGTGTCTTCTTGCTTCATTACCTTTCTTCATGAAGACATGGCACAGATCCAGCCTTTTTGTGTTTGTTGTTTTTCTCTCCTGGTTTTTGGTGTTTAGCTGCTGTGACAGCAGAAGGATGCTGTGGGAGGAGAGACACCCGACTTGGCTTCAGTCCACCTCGCAAGGACATTTTGGCATTGGTAACACTTTCATTAAACATATTTCTGCATCCTGTACAGTATTTCCAAACAAGGTTGAAGCTTCCTGCGTGTCTGGTTTCCTCTGCTTGATCAGCTTCCTCAGGAGCAGACGGAAACGAGCTAAATGCTGTAAAAGTGATGAAGATGAAGTCAAGCTCACACTGAGGGATGCTCAGGTAGAGCCTGAAATGTACTCGGGAGTACGACTTAAACTTTAGGTTTAAATGCAGAGCAGATCTGAAACAAGACATCAGATAGACTGACAGAGACAGACAGGTGGACCCTGGAGCCAGGAACAGGATGATTTAAATTACAGCTTTTTGTGTTTAATTTCCTTCTTTCATTTGTGTTTCCTCCTTTGTGTCAGGGATTTCTAGGCATTGGTTAATTTTAGGGAAAACATCTGGGTTAGGCATAAATACAGTTACAAAAATGAATGGAAGTCAAGACAATGTCCTCAGTTTGATGC